TCTTTCTTTCTTTCTTTCTTTCTTTCTTTCTTTCTTTCTTTCTTTCTTTCTTTTTCTTTCTTTCTTTCTTTCTTTCTTTTCCTTCCTTCCTTCCTTCCTCCTTTCCTTTCCTTTTTCCTTTCCTTTCCTTTTTTTTTTTTTTTGACAGAGTCTTGCTCTGTTGCCCAGGCTGGAGTGCAGTAGCGTGATCTCAGCTCACTGCAATCTCTGCCTCCCTGGTTCAAGTGATTCTCCTGCCTTAGCCTCCTGAGTATGTGTGACTACAGGTACACGCCACCACGCCTAGCTAATTTTTGTATTTTTATAGTAGAGATGAAGTTTCACCATGTTGGCCAGGATGGTCTTGATCTCTACACCTCATGATCCACCTGCCTTGGCCTCCCAAAGTGCTGGGATTACAGGTGTGAACCACCATGCCTGGCCTGTAATTTTCTATTTTTAGTATATAGAAATACAATTGATTTTGTCTGTTGACACTGTGTGGTGGACTGATCCTTAAGACAGCCCCCAAAATTTCCACTTCTTGCTGTTCATGCCCTTGTGTGACCTCCCCTTAAATATGGGTATGACCTGTGACTTGCATATAGTCAACAGAATATGACAAAGGTGACAGGATGCACATGATTCTGTGTATGTGATTATGTTACATAAGATTGTAGCACCCATCTGGCTGTAGTCTCTCTACCTTACTGCTATGAGGAAGCAAGCAGCCATGCTGGACAACCCCATGTGGCAAGGAACTGTGGCTGGCATCTAAGAACTGAAGGTGGTCTGGTAATAGCCAGCAAAATTACTGAAGCTCTCAGTCCTTCAGTCAAAATTAACTGATTGCTACCAATAATCGTGAGTTCAGGGAAGTGGGTCCTTGCCTAGTTGAGATCTCCACATGGAAAACCAGCCCTGTTCAATTCCTTGATTGTAGCCCTATAGGACTCTGAGCAGAAGATCCAGATATGCTGTGTTCAGACTTGACAGAAATTATGAAATAATAAATATATTTTATATTTTAGCTCCTAAGTTTGTGGTACTATTATGGGATAGTAGAAAATGAATGCAGCTTGTATCCAGTGCCCTTTTTAAATTTGCTTGTTACTTCTAATAATTTTCTGTTTCAGATTCCTTTAGATGTTCTGCATATATAATACTCCTGGTGACAAGGACTATTTCACTTCCTGCTTTCCAAATATTTGGTCTTGTTAGTTATTCATTTGTCTGCTTTCTATTTTATGAATTTCCACTCTTAACTTTATTATTTTATACCTACTCTGGGATTAATTTTCTCTCTTTTTTTAGCTTTTAAGGGTAGAAATTAAATAATTCATTTTAGAGCTTTGTTCTTTTTAACATAGACCTTTCAAGCTATCAATTTCCCTCTAAGTCCTTCTTTAGTTGCATTCTGTAACTTTTGAAATACTCTAATTGTCATTCAGTTCAAAATATTTTCTAATTTCTCTTTTGTGGTTTCTTTCTTTGAATTCCTAGTTATTTAGATTGTGTTAATTTCCATCTGTTTGGGGATATATATATATAGTATCATTTAGTTATTGATATCTAATTTAATACTGTTTCAGTTAGAGAACATGACCAGTTAGCAAGAATGAGTAATAATACTGAAAATGCTGTTGCTTCTGCTGCCTCCTCATTGAAATAATACTGAAACCTGTGCTTCCAGTCTGAGGCATGTTTCCACAGATGAATGAGATCCCTGGGGTGGGGGACAGTGGCAGATAGGAGGCAGGACTAACTTGCAGCTCTCATTCAGGACAGAGCAGTGTGTGAAGACCCACATTGTGAACTTTTTTTCCTAATAACTACCACAGGAACATATCAGGAAAGCTCTATAGAAGCTTTGAAGGAGGTGGATTGCCGCTGCAGGCTTCATGGGACAGCCAAGGAACAGTCTGCTTGCTTTCTCAGCTGGGAGGCTTGTAGCCTGGGGCAAGTTCTTAGCACTGTTCACCAGCCATCTGGAAATAAACTCAGTGCTGTTGCAGGGGCACAGTGGGAGTGAGACAAGCCATTTGGGCTGCAAGTGGTATGGGAGCTGGGTGAAGCTATGACTGCTTGCTTTCCTCCACTTTGCTGACAAACTGTATGATGCAGCAGGGACAACCATAATCCCTTGGAAACATAACTCCATTGGCCTGGTAACAACACCCCCATCTCCCACAGCAGCTTCAGCAAGCCCTGCTCAAGGAGAGTCTGAGCTCAGACATACCTAACCCTGACCTTATCTGATGGCCTTTCTCTACCCACCCTGGTAACAGAAGAAAAAAGACATAATCTATTGAGAGCTCTATGGCCCTGCCCACCACCTGATCCTCCCTATACTACTATAGCTGATGCATTCTTGAAAGTGCCACCTCCTAGCAGGAGGCCAACCAACACAAAATGAGTGCACTTAACAAAAATACAACCAAGGACCCCCAAAGAGTCCACTTCAGCCTCCTGCTACCTCCACCAGACTAGGCGCTGGCATCCATGGCTAAGAGACCTGAACATGGATCACATCACAGGACTCTGTAGACACTCCCCACTACTGCCCAGAGCTTGGTAGCTCCACTGGGTGGCTAGATCCAGAAGAGAAATAACAATCACTGCAGTTTGGCTCTCAGGAAGGGCCATCCCTAGGGGAAAAGGGAGAGTACCACATCAGGGGAGCACCCCCATGGGACAACAGAATCTGAGCAGCAGCCCTTGATCATCTCTCTGACATAGTCTATCCAAATGAGAAGGAATTAGAAAAACAATTCAGGTAACACGACAAAACAACATTCTTTAATACCCTCAAGAGATCACACTAGCTTCCCAGCAATAGATCCAAACCAAGAAAAAAAAATCTCTGAATTGCCACAAAATGCATTCAGAAGGTTGATTATTAAGCCAATTAAGGAGGCAACAGAGAAAGGTAAAATCCAACTTAAACAAATAAGAAAACTGATACAGGATATGAATGGAAAAATCTCCAGTGAAATAGCATAAATAAAAAACCATTACAACTTCTGGAGATCAAGAACACATTTAGAGAAAAATGCAAAATGCACTGGGAAGTCTCAGCAATAGACTCAAACAAGTAGAAGAAAGAACTTTTGAGCTCAAAGACAAGTTTTTAATTAACCCAATTTGACAAAGACAAAGAATGAAGAATTTAAATAAAATAAGCACAGCCTCCAAAAAGTTTGGGATTATGTTAAATGACCAAACCTAAGAATAATTGCTGTTCCCAGGGGAAAAAAAAAGTCTAAACATTTGGAAAACATTTGAGGGAATAATGGAGGAAAATATCCCTGGCCATGCTAGAGATCTAGACATTCAAATAAAAGAAGCTCAAAGAACACCTGGGAAATTCATCACAAAAAGATCATTGCCTAGGCACATAGTCATCAGGTTATCTAAAGTCAAGACAAAGAAAAGAATCTTAAGAACAGTGAGGCAAAAGCATCAGATAACCTATAAAGGAAAACCTATCAGATTAACAGCAGATTTCTCAGCAGAAACATTACAAGCTAGAAGAGATTGGGGTCCTATATTTAGCCTCTTTAAACAAAGCAATTATCAGCCAAGAATTTTATATCCAGCAAGACTAAACTTCATAAATGATGGAAAGATGCGGTCTTTTTCAGACAAAGAAATGCTGGGACAATTTGCCACTACCAAGCCAGCACTACAAGAACTGCTAAAAAGAGCTCTAAATCTTGAAACAAATCCTTGAAATATGCCAAAATAGAATGCTAAATCCTAAATCTCACATGACCTATATAATAATAACACAATTTTAAAAAAGAAAACAATGTATTCAGGCAACAAGTAGTATGATGAATAGAATAGTATCTCAGATCTCACTACTAACACTGAATGTAAATGGCCTAAATGCTCCACCTAAAAGATACAGAATGACAGAATGGATAAGAATTCACCAACCAAGTAACTGCTGTCTTCAAGAGACTCACCTGACACATAAGGACTCACATAAACTTAAGGTAAAGGGGTGGAAAAAGATATTTCATGCAAATGGACACCAAGAGAGAGCAGGAGTAGCTGTTCTTATATCAGACAAAACAAACTTTAAAGAAACAGCAGTTAAAAAAGACAAAGGAGAGACATTACATAATGATAAAAAAAAGACTAATCCAACAGGAAAATATAATCCTAACACACCTAACACTGGAGCTCCCAAATTCCTAAAACGATTACTACTAGTCCTAAGAAATGAGATAGATAGCAACATAATAATAGTGGGGGACTACAATACTCCACTGACAGCACCAGACAGGTCATCAAGATAGAAAGTCAACAAGGAAACAATGGGCTTAAACTATACCCTAGAGCAAATTGATTTAACTGACATTTACAGAACATTCTACCCAACAACTACAGAATATACAGTCTATTCATGAGCACATAGAATATTCTCCAAGATAGAACATATGATAGGCCACAAAACAAGTCTCAACAAATTTAAGAAAATAAAAATTATAGCAAGTACTCTTTCAGATCACAGTGGAATAAAATTGGAAGTCAGCTGCAAAAGAAACCCTCAAAACCATGCAAATACATGGAAATTAAATAACCTGCTCCTGAATGATCATTGGGTTAACAATGAAATCAAGATGGGAATTTAAAAATTCTTTGAACTGAATGATAACAATGGCACAACCTATCAAAATGTCTGGGATACAGCAAAAGCAATGCAAGAGGAACGTTTGCAGCAGTAAATATCTACATCAAAAAGTCTGAAACAGCAATAATAGATGATCTAAGGTCACACCTCAGGGAACTAGAGAAATAAGAACAAACCAAACCCAAACCCAGAAGAGTAAAAGAAATAAAGATCAGAGCAGAGCTGAATGAAACTGAAATAAAAGAAAAATACAAAACATAAATGAAACAAAAAGCTGGTTCTTTGAAAAGATAAATTAATAGACCATTAGTGACATTAAACAAGAAAAGAAGAGAGGAGATCAAAATAAGCTCAATCAGAAATGAAAACAGGAGATATTACAATTGATACCACATAAATACAAAGGAACATTCAAAGCTTCTACGAACGCCTTTGCATGCATTATATTAGTCTGTTCTCATGCTGCTAACAAAGACATACATGATGAAAGGCAAAGGAGGAGCAAAGGCACATTTTACATGCTGGCAGGCAAGAAGGCATGTGCAGAGGAACTTCCATTTATAAAACTGTCAGAACTTATGAGACTTATTCACTCACTACCAGGAGAACAGTATGGGAGAAATTGTGCCCATGATTCAATTATCTCCACCTGGTCCTGCCCTTGACACATGGGGATTATTAGAGTTCAAGGTGAGATTTGGGTGAGGACAAAGCCAAACCATATCACATATAAACTAGAAACCTAGAGGAGATGGATAAATTCCTGAAAATATACAACCCTCCTAGATTAAACCAGGAATATATAGAAACTCCGAATAGACCAATAACAAACAGTGAGATTGAAATGGTAATTTAAAAGTTACGAACAAAAAAAGTGCAGGGCCAGGTGGATTCACAGCAGAACTCCATCAGACATTCAAAGAAGAATTGATAATAATCTTATTGACACTATTCCAATGGATAAAGAGGGAATACTCCTTAAATCACTCTATGAAGCCAGTATCACCCTACTACAAAAATCAGAAAAGGGTGTAACAAAGAAAGAAAGCTGCAGACCAATATTCCTGATGAACATAGATACAAAAATCCTCAACAAAATACTAGCCAACAGAATCCAATAGCATATCAAAAAGTTAATCCACTATGATCAAGTGGGTTTTATACCAGGGATGCAGGGATGGTTTAACATTCACAAGTCAATAAATGTGATGCACCATATAAACAGAATTAAAAACAAAATCACACAATCATCTCAATAGATGCAGAAAAAACATTTGACAAAATCCAGGAACTTTTTGTGATTAAAACCTTCAGAAAAATTGGCATGAAAGGGACATACCTCAAGGTAATAAAAGCCATCTATGACAAACCCACAGCCAACATTATCCTGAATGTGCCTCGGCTAGATTACTTTCCCCTTTTCATAGTCCTCTCTTTCCTTTAAGCTACAGTTCCATATGCACATTTCCTTCTTGGAGCTTTGACTAACCCCCAAATAAGAGGACTCCTTTCCTTCATCAGATCCCCTGGAGCCTCAGCATGAGCCTCTTCTTTGACAGTTGCTACACTGTTTTCTGGAGTCAGACAACATTTTGGGTGGAGAGTTCTATAGAGGTCTATCAGATTCACTTGGTTCAAGGTTGAGTTCTGGTCCTGAATATCTTCATTAATTTTTTGCCTCGATGATCTCTCTAATACATGTACTTATTGTTAGTATGTATGTCTTCTTTATAAAAGTGTCTGTTCATGTCCTTTGCCCAATTTTTAATGGGGTTGTTTTTTGATTTTCTTTTGTAAATTCCTCTAAGTTCCTCATGGATGCTGGATATTAGACTTTGTCACATGCATAGTTTGCCAATATTTTCTCCCTGGTATATTGCCAATATTTTCTCTCTGGTATAGGTTGTCTGTTTACACTGTTGATAGTTTATTGCTGTGTAGAAGTTCTTTAGCTTAATTAGATACCACCTGTCAATTTTTGCTTTTGTCATCACTGTTTCTGGCATCTTTGTCAAGAAATCTTTGCCCATTCCTATGTCCAGGGTGGTATTGCCTAGGTTGTCTTTCA